ACCGCGCTCGCATATGGAGTCTTCGACATCAACTCACGATCTTCAACTGACTTCGGTGAAAGACCAGCTGAAAGCTTCAAATGGGCTCCCAATGGTACACTAACTGGCTTCGTATCCATGCTAACATGGAATCGCTGTAGAACCTTCTTCAAATAAGCCACCTGTGTCAAACAAATTCTGCCCTTCTTCTTGTCTCTGCCGATCTCCATCCCTAGAATGCGCTTCGCCTCACCCAAGTCTTTCATCTCAAACTCATTTGAAAGCTGAACTTTCAACTCATCTATAGCCGACCTGGAAGTAGAGGCAACCAACATGTCATCGACATAGAGCAACAAATAAATGTACGCACCTCCTTTCAACTTGCGAAAATATACGCAAGGATCAAACTGGCTCCGAGTGTACGAATGACCAATCATAAAACCATCGAATCGCCTATACCACTGTCGAGGAGACTGCTTCAAACCGTATAGCGATTTCTTCAACCTGCAAACCAACTTATAGCGATTTCTTCAGTTTGCAAACTAATTTTTCTTTCCCTGCAGCTCGGAATCCCAATGGCTGAGTCATATATATTTCTTCATCAAGATCACCATGAAGAAATGCCGTTTTCACATCCAACTGGTCTAATTCCAAACCATACTGTGCCACCAAAGCTAGCAAAATCCGAATCGAAGAATGCTTCACCACCGGAGAGAAAACCTCATTATAGTCAATACCTTCCTCCTGTGCATAGCCCTTCGCAACCAACCTAGCTGAGAATCTCAATGGAGTGCCCTCAATGCCCTCCTTCTTTGTGTATACCCACTTACAACCAATTGCCTTCCGCCCCTTTGGAATCAACCAGCTGAGATTCCATCTCCTCCTGCATAGCCACCTGCCACGAATCAGCCTCCGAACTCTGCTCGGCCTCTCTGAATGTAGTAGGCACTAACTCATCGATACTCTCCACCGGAAGTGCATACGCAACTGTGTCGGCATACCGTGCTGGCATCTGTATGTTTCTCCTCTTTCTCCTAGCCGCAATAGAATCCTGAACCTGAGCCGTCGGTTCCTGATCCTGCACATTTGTACTCGTATCCTCCGTGTCACCGTCGTGCTCGCCTGGCGTCACCTCAGTCGGCACCTGCATGGATACTGTACCACCTGGACAATGTGGAGCCGCGAGCTGTATCGATCTCCACCACCTGTGATATCTCCTCCGTCGGGTCGCTCTCCACCTGATGAGAGCTGGGAAGCTTCAAGATAGAAGCCTCATCGAATGTGACGTCCCTACTCAGCACAATCTTCTTATCAACTGGATCCCAAAGCTTGTATCCCTTGACACCACGCTTGAATCCTACAAATATGGCATTCCTAGCTCGAGGTTCTAATTTATCAGTTCTAACATGATAATATGCAGGGCACCCAAATACCTTGAGCTGGTCATAATCATGTGCTGGCTTTCCCGACCACATCTCCATAGGAGTCTTCGCCTCAATCGCAGATAAAGACAGCCTATTAATGAGGTGGCTCGCATATGTAAGTGCCTCAGCCCAAAAGATCTTCTCCAAACCACTCTGCGACAATAAGCATCGGATCTTCTCCAGTAAAGACCGATTTAATCTCTCTGCCACCCCATTTTGCTGCGGTGTATGACTAACTGTGAAGTGTCTCTCTATGCCCTCGTCTCGACATAGCTGCTGAAAGGGGTCAGAAGTATACTCACCACCGTTGTCGGATCGCAACGTCTTGATCTTTCTCCCAGTCTGCAGTTCCAATCTCTTCTTCCACTCCACAAACAAATCTAGGACTTCACTCTTCTTCGTCATGGTGTACACCCAACAACGCCTAGAATAGTCATCAACGAACGTGACGAACCAATGTCGACCACCAAGTGATGCAGTCTTGGTGGGACCCCAAACGTCTGTGTGCACGTAATCCAGGATACCCCTCGTCTGATGAATGGCAGTCCCGAACTTCACCTTCGTCTTCTTGCCAAGAACACAGTGCTCACAGAACTCAATCTTTTCACTCTTGGCTCCCTTCAATAGCCCCTGCTTGCACAATGCCTGCAGTGACTTTTCACCTGTGTGCCCCAACCTATAGTGCCAAAGTCTGCTCATGTCCGCTTCTGAAATAGCCGAAGCAACCTGGCCAATCTCGGTGCTTCCCTTCAGATAATACAAATTTCGATTGCGGACTCCCCTCATCACCACCAATGATCCTTTAGTAACCTTCGCTACAGCGTTTTCGCCCCTTTCTATCCTATCAATAAACACACACATTCAAACAAGAAACAAAGCAATAAAGCTAATAACTGTTGACCAGATAATGGGGTCTATAACAAGAAAAATGGAAAATGGTAGCACACAAATTTCAGCATCCAAATGACAAAATAAATAAGACCTAACCACTTAGACTGCACATAGACCCCTGTACTATCCTTGTTAGAAACTTACTACTCTTGTCGTTTCATTGTCCAGAAAGAGCTCCAGGGTGTTTAGAACTCTTTACCCTTTAGATAGACTCACTAATTTGACCGAGGTGCAATATCTACCAAATATTAACCGAAAGAAAGAAACTGAAAAAAAACTAACCCAGTGGTCTATCTAGAACAATGAAATTAAAAGGGTAGTAGCTACAAAACAGGAAAACTACAGGGGGTCTATGGGCAATTAACCATATTTAATGGTAGCAGAAGATATGGTTAAGCTGTCTGCATTAGCACACATGAATATGTAAAACAGATTGTAGTTACAAAACCTACCTTGTATGTCTCACATTCAGTATTGACACTAAATGCAAAGGCTCCCATGACATGTTCTAGCTCTTCCCTAAATGTAGCTCCCCAGGGCGCAAGGTAATTTTGAGCATGATCAACAGCCAGACTGAGGTTGTCAATGCGCAACAATTCTATAAACTCCTGACGCCTCAAGTGGAACTCAAATTTACTCTGCAGCATACAAGTTGCATAAAGTGTGAAGTGATAGAAAATTATTTAAGCTCCATCAAATGGGACAAATAGAATATCGGAATTAAAGAAACAGGTTCACCCATATTTATTCACTTTACAACCTCCAAAAAGTTACACTGGGAAATACTAAACAAAATGTATATCCTTCTATTGAAAAATCGCAGAAAAACGAAAATAAGAAGGGAGATACAGGAAAAGAATGGCATGTCATAGTAAGCTAACACTAACAGAGAAAATAGGAGCTGCCTGCTAAGAGCCAATATCAATATATATGTTGATGATTGCATATTTAGTGGAATTTATTACCTCATACCAGTTTCCCGGAAGACATCAAATTTGACTATTCAGGTCTCAGTTTATACTCACTCAGATTACCACTGAAATTTCCACTAAAATGTTACCTCTTCCCACCCAAGGCTTTTCATGACAAGTGCATGTGCATGTGTGTGTGCACACATGCGTGTAAGTATAATTCATTAAGTATTGTTATGAATCAGAAAGTCCCTGGATTCTCGAAAAGTGCGTGCAGTTTCACTCAATGACTTATGTTGCGCGCAGCGGAAATTTCGGCAGCACTTCGGCAGCACAACAAGAGTTAGGTCGCAATAAGAATTCTTGTTTCTCAAAGGGAACAAGAATCTGAAGCCTATATCCTATCAAAGTAGGATATTAGCTCTTCCTCTCGTCAGCTCTAGGACTGCGCGTCGAGGGATCCTAAAAGCTATTACAAATCACACAAAAGCAGTACAATCAATTTTTACGTGGTTCGGCAAATTGCCTACGTCCACGGGGCAAGGAGGGGGGAGATTTACTAATAGAGGGAGAGAATACAAATAGGGTTTACACAAGAATCTCACAAATAAAACCCTCACACAAACTCTCAAATCCCTCACAAAGCTCTCTCTACAAAAGGATGCAAAAACCCAACTTTTTTTCTGTCTTTGCACTCCTATGGCCGCCACAAAATTCCGTGCTTGCTTCTGTTCTGCAGCCGAAAAGTTTGCAGCCGACAAACCTCCTCACGCTCTTGCTCCTGTAGCCGCACAAGTGCACAGCCGCAAAAGAAAGAAATCAAAACCTCCCCTGCTTAACCCTAATGACCGATTAATAACCTATTTATATAGTTGCACAAGAGCTAATCGGGTGGGCCTGTAGGATATCACGCGGTTTTGTTTTCCTCACGTGGGTTGTGGCCCCCACATCTTCACATATATATCATAATACAGATAGAAACATTTCTAACCCTCGCTATCAGTTTAAAGGTACAACAAGAAGAAATAAAGTCTTCTGCTGGGCAGCAGAACCCCCCAGCAGAAGAGAAGAACAAAACAGGCTGGAAAAATCAAAGGGTATGTGAACCGAGAAACAAAGAAACAACGACGAGAACAACAAGAGCGTCAACAACAAATTCAAGGAGCAAAGCATCAACTTCATTAGTAAAAAAGCTGCAGCGCCTGCAAACAACAAAGAAAGCCCAACACGAGGGCACAAAGATACTATAACACAGTTGTAAATAGTTCTTACCATGCAGAGGTCCCAAAAACAAAGACAAAAGACGAGGAGAGAAACATCCTTGCTACAGAAATCTCAGTTTGAATGTCGTGGAGATTTAAAACTTGAGAGATAAAAATAAAAAAAAAAGCAATGATGCGATTGAACTGCTCTCAGCCAAGAGGAAATACAACATGCTTTACTTTGAACCTGAAATTTTGGCAGGCTTAAGCACCCCTCAACCTGGTTTCAGTGATTTCCAAGACGAGTGGTTTTTAGAATAATAGTAGAGTCTTATCTCTTCCCTTAAAAGTCCCTTAAAATTGAAATCGATGGTGAAGGTTTGGATAATCGGATCCTTCCCAATTATCACCTAATTGACGAGGTTCTGGATCCAAATAGAAAATATCCCCGTCCATGTCAAGAAATATCTTAATTTGAAACACCCATAATGGCAAGAAACGTCTTAATCCAAAACACCACCCCAATGATGGAGAAGCCATGAGTAAATTGAGACCCAAACTTCCGCTGAGACAACAATTAGCACAACAGGGCCAACCAAAAAAATATCCATATGTACTTCTACACAAATTGTATTTTAAGAGTTTTACTTTGAAGTTGTAAAATGAAGAAAAACAACAATCCCTCTCCAAACAAAGCGAAGGAAGAAAAAGGATGAAAATTAAAACTCAGCCCACAACTGTTCTTCCCAATCGCCCCCAATTCTACAAACAATCTCATAGTATTACAAATCTTCCTCTATTAAAGCTTTCAAACATGAGAGAAGTCTAGCAGAACTAGGTCGCTACACCGCGACCAGTTTCAACAATGGCCTCCCTCATTCCTGACAACCAAGTTCCTTAACCAAGTAAAACATCCCAAGTATAGCTAACATTCTGATCATCTGGGCCGTCATGATACTCCAACAAAAGCCATCCTTTCTAGAAACACATGTACTACGAAGACAAAATATTTTGGCTCAATTTTCACGCTTAAACATAAGTACATTCCTGATTGCCAAAAGAAAAAACCACTCACGATGAGTTATTTGGTTGCTAAACATATCTGTCATTTTCTCTGGCCAAAAACTCCTAGATGGATAGCTTCCTGCACACAGTAAACAAAAAATACATAATCCACACATTACCAATCCATCATCCCCTCAACACGATTCGAGATGATCTTATTCAAGACAATGCACTATTAAATCTTTCGAATTAGATGATATCAAACCTGCTAGGAGTTAATTGGACATATGCAATCAAATCTGCTGCCGCATGCCAAGCAAGCTAGAGGAGAAGAACAAAACTCAGAATATCAAGAACTTGCTATATCAACAAAGTGACAACATAAAACTCAACAAAGTAAACGATATGTGAACAGAAGGAGATAAGCTGATACCTATGGACACTACAGGCAAACTTCATCCATAGAGCACGAGGGGTAAATATATAATTAATAAATGGCTTTAATCTTATATGATAAAGAAATAATAATACTAATTAAGAAATAATAATATCTCGCATATACATTATAATTCCATGAAGCTACCAACTATGAATATTCAAACAATAATCTACAATAGAGAGAGGCATTACTCTAAATTTCTAGGATAATGACAGCATGTTTATAAAGAACAGAGAAACAGAAAGGAGGGAATATGAAATATTAAGGGTGAATCATATACCTTGCAAGATGAGATCATACAGAACCTGAAAACTGTTCTCCATTGAGACCATGCAATTGACCTGTCTCACAAGATATGAACTGAAACATAAATCACAGGAAAAATGCCAGTTAAAGTACTTTGATACCACATACCCAAAAATAAACCCTGTAAAAAACAACCCAAAAACATTGATCCGGGGTAGAATTTACCAACTCTAGCAGGTCAGGCGATCGATTTCCTGCCAAACAAGTAAAATGCACATGAAACACGCCCTCAAAATATTCAAACAACAACCATGCTCTTCTAGTTTGTTATTTATATAAAGAGCACATGAAACACGCCCTCAAAATATTCAAACAACAACCATGCTCTTCTAGTTTGTTATTTATATAAAGATCTTTTTTTTTTCAACAACTCCAACTACAAACAACAACCATGCTCTTCTAGTTTGTTATTTATATAAAGATCTTTTTTTTTTCAACAACTCCAACTAATGAGTGTTTTTGTTAGCATACCCAACTTCAAGGCTAGAAAACCCCAGCATATGTTTCAGTGTTCCCATTAAAGAAACTCTCTTCAGCTTCCTAAAAACAGAAACATAAAGGTTAGTAATGCTAATAGAAAATTTTGGTACTCATACCAAAAGCACACCCATCAAAGAAAACCCAATTAACGTTATGGTGAAAATCTACGAATACTAGCAAATCGGGCAGTCAATTTCTCTACCAAGCAAGTAAACTACACATGAAACAAACCCCCAAATCCCACACACACACACACACACCCACACCCACACCCACACCCACACCCACACAAATACATATTCTAACAGCTAACTTCTTTTCACTCATTTTCATATCAATATAATTTTTTTTCCCTGAAGAACTCATACTAATGAGTATCTGTCCATTCTCTAGCACCAAGGCTACATGAACCCCATCATATGCTTCATCGTTTCCATTAAAAAAACTCTTCTTCAGCTCCAAAAAACCGAAACATAAAGCATAAGTATGCTAACAGAACAATTAGACCCATCAAATAAAAACCGATAAACATTGATCCAACCTATTAAAAAAATACCAGCTATAGCAAATCATGCAATGAAGTTCAATATCAAGCAACTAGAATGCTCATAAAACAAACCAATAGATATATACTTAAACAGCAAACTTCTTTTTCATCAGCTCTTATTAATATAAAGGCTTTTCTTTCAAGAACTCGTACTAATGAGTGTTCTTTTCACTGTCACCTCCAAAGCCATGTTAAACCAAGCACTTTTTTCATAGTTTTCATTAAAGAAACTCTTGTTCAGCTTCCTAAAAACTGAAACATAAACCGCAGATATTCAGACAGAATAATTTGGTACTGCATGGCGAAATGCAGATAGAATAATTTGGTACTGCATGGCGAAAACAAACCCATCAAAGAAAAACTCATAACATTGGTTAAAGGTAAAAATCTCGTTAGTATGGGCTAACAGAATAGTTAGATACTGCATCACCAGAAACAAACCCATCAAAGAAAAGGCCATAGCCATTGTTCCAAGATAAAATTTACTGACACTACCAATGCCAAACAACTAAAATACAAATAAACCAAACACTGAGATATATACTCAAACAACAAACTTTTTTTTCATTAGCTTCTTATTAATATAAGGGTTTTTTTTCCAAGAACTCATACTAATGGGTGTTCTGTCCATTTTCAACACCAAGGCCATACAACACACCGGCATATTTCTCAGTGTTTCCATTAAAGAAACTCTCTTTCAGCTTCCTAAATGTGCATGAAGTCAGCAAGCTATCACTTCCAGCTTGGTGGCAAATACCCACCCTCTCCACATCAAGCAACTCGGCAAGCTTATTAAGCCCTCCATGCAAACTGTTGCAGAACCTCATCAAATGCTTTATATCATAAATCGTCGGGAAATAAACCTTGATCAGCGTAAAGAACCCAGCTTGCGAATCCGGAAGATTCTGGCAAGTCAGAATCTTGAGCAAATACCCGAAGTCATACCCACTGTGGAACGTCACCCATTGAATCGAATCATTCAGCACGATCCCCGACGACATGAGCAGCTCGGCGAATCTCACGGCATCGACCCCCTTCTCGTTGTTCTTCTTGAAATCGATCCCACTCTGCCGAAGGAGCTCGACGGAGTCTGTGGCCAAAACGTCGGTCTGGGGA